GCAACCTACAGCTGTCTCTTATCCACATCTAGATGTGTATAAGAGACAGGTCTCGGCAAGCGTCATGTACCATTTAACCACAGAGGCCCGTACGATATCATTACGACTGTTTAATGAGCTAGAGACTAGAACTTTAAGAAAATAATATTTAAATAATTAAAGACAGGTTTTGGAGAAAAACAAAATGTCTAATGTTGAATGTTGTAGAATGAACATTCTAATACACTGGTCACCCTCTTGGAACAAAGAAACATGGAGTGGGCCACGATCAAAAACAGGGACTCACGACGGGGTCCAGTGCAGAAAACAGGGGCAAGCGACACACTAGATTTAGCCACCGTTTATGCAGCCGTCTTGGAAAAGCGAAACATGAGATGGCAGCCGTTGTCTTTTCAGTCAAAACGACGATTTAAATTACTTTAAAAAAGTGTAATTAAAGCACCTTATCGCCCTACCCCCTCACCTAATATTTAATGTTAATGACCAAATATATACATATATATATTATATATATATATATATATATATATATATATTATTATTATTATTATTATTATTATAGGCTACGAATGTTAGATTTAGTTCTTGAAAAAAATTTCAAGCATTAAATCTAACCTAAGTATTAGTTTTCCGTTAGTGTACGATGCATGCACTAGCGGAAAATTACTTAGGTTACATTTAATGCATTAACACATTTGTGTGTGTTAATCAATAGATTTACATCGCTGAAAATAGGCCGATGATTGTTATATTATTATATAAGTTTCAATAACCACGACTATTATAGGTTCATGACATGTACTCAAACGCAATCTACATTATGAATTCATGCTGTTTTGCTCATGCTGCTAATGCTTCACTGCTTCACTGCTTCACTTGAATTCATTCAAGGCTATTTCTTCATTCAGGTACATTCTGGTATGAGCGCACAGAGACCTCGTTTATTTGCGCTAATAAATACATCTATTTAAATTATTATTATTATTATTATTATTATTAGCTTCGTACCACGTACGGTACAATGCACTTTCAGGAAGGTAGGGACTATAAATAATACCTCCCTGGTTTAACTGTCGACTTGTACACGATTTGGTTTTTATTTAGTTAAATCGGGGGTCTGGGTTTGTATAGTGTCTAATTTTTCAATGGTCTAATGTTTCGTACGTCTGAAGTCTTTTTCTAAACCGCCATAAAATAGGTGGTGGAACGAATATTTTTAAATACGAACGGCTCGAGCGCGTGTCACGTAATTGAGAGGTTTTATTTTTGTCCAATCCTCCCTGTGTTAATGCTGCACAGAAAGTAGTTCTGTCAAGAATGATTTGGTGTGACTGATGCTGAATCTGCTTGTAAGTGATGATGAGAAGACCACATGTTAGATACTGACGAGCTTTTAATGATACCATTTTATACATTACACCCAGCTGTAATTATCTACTTGGCAAAACCTGGTAACAACTTGCAATCTTGAAAATGTACGAAATAAAGAGGATATTAAATATAATCTCCGTAAAAATGCAAATTTATACCTCCCAAATTTAAACCAAGTCTTTGTCAACATTTTATAACATTTAATAGAACAACCCAATGGATTAAATTGCATCATAATCGACATTTACACATTGTGTAACTTGCAAAGCAAACATTAAACAACAAAGAAACCACGTGAAACAAAAATTAACCATGATAATTTAAATACTTTTCTATGTTATATTTTTTTTATTGTATACACATTTTCTTCTTTTTTTTGTATATATATATAACATACAGTAATAATTTTTAGGCGAATCGAATGGCCGAGCGGTTAAGACAGTGGCCGCAACCTACAGTCATAATCGACGCTGGTTCAAACGGCACGCTCGCATATGGTTCTGGAGGTGGTATAATTGTTCTCGGATAAGGACATAACCCGTAGGCTCAGTGTACACAATTGGCGCATGTGCCCTACAAAGAACCCAGTACATCTTTCGAGACGAGTAAGGGGTTGCCCCGGTGTACTGGTCCATCTCACAGCCCCAGTCATTGTGGACGGAGCGCTTTTCTTGGGCTGCAAGCACGATTTTTGCTACGACAGAGCAAGCGTCGTCGTAAATGTCGTGGTCAAACATAATGCATCGTATTGCATCGTACTGGATCTTGACGTCATCGTGATGGAGCACGATTTTTTTGGAATGTTAAAAAAAAATCGTGCTCAATCGTAGCCGTGAAAAAGATCTTGGTCTACCGCAGCGGCATCGTGTGAGTGGCGTAACGTTGTCGTCGTTTGTCGTGACTGTGTCTTGTCCATTCGTACTACCAACAACACCTACAACAAGCCAAGACGTCGCTGCGATGTTGAGACGATTAGATACGATGCCACCAGGATACCATTAAGACCGTGGTTTATATTACGTGGCTCTGTGTCAGAAAAGTTTTTCAACACACTGAACAATTCCTTGCTCACTTCGAGGAAGTTTCTGAAGCCTCTTGGTCTTCCTATTTAACTCTACTAGTAAGTGTTCATACTGTCTAAAATATGGACGAAGTAAGAGCCATGGCTGTACCCATACACTTCGTTTAGGCCTATGCATTCGACGTGACCGACGCTTACTCTTGATTATCAAAACTGTAGCAGCCAACAAATTTTCTTCTATAGCAGCAGCTTGCAAATAATATTGATGGTGTTTGAACAGTGCGCTTTTTTGTTATGTCATGAGATGTTTGTTTTTGTGATGTGCGTCTTGTTAAATCGTGCTAACGTCGTTCTTGCGTCTTTGTAAAATCGTAGTGACGTCGAATTAAAATGTTGGTAATTCGTAGTACGTCGTCGCAAATCGTAACTCTATCGTTATAATTCGTAAAAATGTCGTCGCACTATCGCATTAGTTCCGTAATACATATTGACGGCGTCCTAGTAGCGTCTTGATGAAACGTAAAACTTGAACTTTTTGAGTACGAATCACTAGGATAGAGCGCGATTTTAAAACTTACTTATATTTTCCACATAAACAACATGCAATATAAGGTGCGCAGATAATACGTCTACAAAATGACCATATTAAACATATTTTATATTTAGGTTTATATTTGATAATAGCTGTGTCTACACGAACTTATATTTAAACAACCAGATATTAATACGCGACTTTAACAAAGTATTAGGCTTATTTAGAGAAGTGCTCCAATTTCAAATCTCATTGAAACCATCTTACTTTTGCAGTGCTTGTATCACACTGACGAATTGTTTTTAAATTGTTAGTTATCACCTACAAAGCGATATGTTCTAGTCATCCGTCCTACTTAAATGCCCTGCTTACTAAGTATACTCCATCTCGCCGTCTCCGTTCATCTTCTCGAAATCTCCTTTCTGTTCCCAAATATTCCCACCTATCAAACTATGGCACACTGGTTTCTTTTATTAAACATATGATAGGCCTGCAAGACGCGCAGGCTTCCACCTATCACAATTTCTGATAGGCCTGCAAAACGCGCAGGCCTTACACCTATCAGACCACGTCAGTCACTCTTGAAATGGCAAGTTAGTATGAATCGCAATCGCACCTGAATATTTAAATCCGACTTGCGGATTTAAATATTGAGGACGCTATTTATTAATCTCAAAATAATCAAGCGCGAAACATTATCCAGGTTAAACGTAACAGTGGGAAAGGGGAAATAGGGGAGAATTAAGTTGTAAGAATGAGTAGTCCACACCCGTTTCAGGTTAAAGTCTTCAACTGTGAAGTTGACACTCAATCTGGAAGAAGATTTGTATAATGTTAATTGATTATTTACTTAATTTTGATCTGTGTTTTATGTTTTTGTTTTGTTCTAATTCTTTTGTAAAAGAGATTTCAATTGTTTGTATTGATATCAGAAAGCAGGCCCATACCATGCTGACAACTGGATGGTATACAATTGTACATGCAATGGAATTCTGTTCTAATATAACTGTATATGGCATGGCAAATGAAGACTTCTGCAGGTAAGCAAACAAAATCATTCTATCACTAAAGTAGATAGAACCGATAGGCCTAGGCCTATAGCTATATATATGCACATGCATACATACATATATTATATATCATATATATCACACACACATATATAGGCCCATATATATATATATATTATATATTCATATAGGCCTATATATATGCATAAGCCTATATATATATGTATATATATATATATATATGTCAAGAAGGCGTATCTACGTGTGTTTCGAAACATATGTAGAATATAATATAGCGTAATAGTAATAGAACTCAAATACGCAAGATGTTGACTTTAGAAACACTACAATTTATTTGGCGAATATTTCGGCTACTCCTGTAGTCTTTGTCAACGCTTGACATAAAATATATATTTGTCAATATGATATATATATATATATATATATAGGCCTATATATCATATGTCAACGCTTGACATAAAATACCGTATGTATTATATATAATATTATATATACATAATATATATATGAACATAACAGACTTCAAAGGCATAATATGTTGTAAATTTCAGGTTTATTCAAAACGTTATATATATATATATATATATAATATATATATAGCATATATATATATATATATGCATATATATGTGTACATATGTGAGGCTACACTCCACGAATTCTAATGACCTAACATTTTGCTCCTACGTTTCTCTGATTTTTCTCATGTCTAATGCAAATGTGTTATGCAAATTATTTTCGCTGAATGCCACCTGTGTTTGAAGCTCGTCATTATGATGTGCAGTGGGGATTTGCACTACCAAACAAAATATATTTCTAAAACGGGTTGATATAGCATACAGTCAATTGCACAAAACAATAATAAAATAAGCTTGATGCATTGCTCAATGTAATAAATGTGGTTTGCTTTTTCTATTTTTTCTCGTTTTGCTTTAGTTCTACGAACTCAAGTGTTGCATATCACTACTACGAGTCCATCAAAAAAAAGAGTGAGTGCGAATATTATAATAAGAGTGAAAACAGAATACATGGTGGACATCTCTTCATCACAGAAAAGTCTGTATTCCGACGTTGGTCAAGTTACATGGACATCACTTTCAAACATCCTATGTGGCCGAGAAAAGAAAGTAACGGAACTCTACGTTCACCATTTTTGGAAAAACGCAGAGGAAAATTGAGGAAGACAATGGCATCAAAAGTTGTAAATAATAATAAATCAAATATTTTTACCAAGCCAATTCAAAAATTATCAAAGGAGCAAGTGGAAAATAAACCAGATAATAATGTCACAAGTGAAAAAATAAATTCGCTAAATAAGAGAAAACTGACTCACAATAACATGTCTGTCAATTCAGCAAAAATATCAAATGTGTTAAATACGTCTGCCAAATTGGAAACACGCAATTTGAAGCCCATTAAAAATAAGAGAAAGCGACGGAGAAAATACAAGAAAAAAAAATATTTGAGTTGAAACCCGCCTGTCTTAGCTTATTAAAACATAACTTGGTCTTGTGGGAGACGTTAGTCCGATATGTTCACCAGTTAAAAAAAACAAAGTGTTTTTCTGTTTGTTGCCTGTTACTGTATTTATCAATCTTTTTATAGGCTATTTTAATCTGATGTATCGTCTTTGCCTCTGTGTTTTGTTGTAATTTATTGTATTTTTATTTGGCCAGGGGGTTTAGAGGATACCCACATTTTGGGCTCTCAGCCTATGATGTTCACCTTGGCACCCCTCTGGCCATAATTTTCCTGATTTGTGATTTTTGTGCCGAATATGTAATAAATAAATTAATAGAAATAAATAATGCACACCAAGCACGAACATCTTTATAATGGACCTTTCCGGTGTGTCAACCAAACTTAACAACTGACCAATCAAAACAGTGCCAGGAATACGTGCGTGTCCAGCAAACACACGTGTTGTGCCACAAACGAACGTGTTTACGTATGTTTTTACCATAGAGCTATTAGGCTATGTTCTCACACGGCAGCTAACGGTTAGCAGGATCCGGATCCAGCTAACCGTTAGCTGCCGTGCGTCCATGCGAGAAAATCCCGATCCGGATACCAACAATATGATGATCGAATCACTGGCCAATAAGAAACTGGAAATTGTAAACGCGTACGTGTGATTGGTTGATGATATAAACGCCCTCAACTTGCTAACCGATAGCGCTTGCATTTTTTTTTTACACAATGTATTTATTTATTTATTTTTTATGACAAAATTCGTTGAGTGTTACGCTACACGATGTATTATTATGTCCTTTATTTGACCGCTGCACTTACCTTTCTTTGATGATTTGACTATGTTGACCATTATGAATAAATGCACTTTGAATTGAATTGAATTGCATCGTATTTTTCATTAACCAATATGTATATATATATATATATAATATATATATATATATTTCAACATATTTAACATTGCTATCCATATAGAATAAACAAGGTTATTACATTTTGCTCTTTATAGTTATTGCATTTATATTATTTTTGTTATTGTTATTATTATCATTCTTAAATTATTATTCATACAAAATAAACAATGTTTTTGCATTTGCTCTTTATATTTATTAAATTATCATTATTGTTATTATTATTATTATCAAATGGAACAGTCCAAATCTCAACGTTCAACTCAAACATTTAAGCTTACAACTTTTCAATTAGCATACAGTACTAATGTATGCAAGGTGTTCTATACACCTTGCATATGATTATCTAGAACGATCGTTACGTTACCTTAATTGGTAACAATTTGTTTTCACTAATTAATATTCATTCATTCTTTGTATAAATACTCTTAGTTAAGAATGACAAGGTTTTTCTTTCCGTTTATTTCGCCTTTCATTTTTTACACTATTATTATTATATTATTATTAAATTGTGATATAACGCTATTGAAGACATGGATTATAATATTATACAAACAAACAATATGAGTTACATACATTAGGCCATTAAGCTATTAATATTACACAATTAATAGAACACATTTTATAAGAACACTGAGGCTGAAAATGCTTAAAAATTAAGAACAAAATAAATAAAACAAATTGAGGCTGAGGTAAAACGTCAAATAAGGTTGTTTTTTTTTTAAATAGAGAAACCAACAAATTCTTATCCTTATCTGTATTAGGTGTGTGACCACGAGGAATAAAGAGACTATGTACTACCAGGTAACAGTTAATTTAACTGTTCCCTGGTAATACCATGGAGGAATAAGTTTTAGAGTCTGGTCAATTTAGGTAAAAATCCTGGACTTTACCGGGAAAAAATTGATAACAAAGCTTTTTTGGTATCAATCGATGCACACGAATGTCCTCTTTAACATGTGGAAACTCCTCTTCAATCTTCCTTGGCGAAAAAAAAAGTTATAGCCGTTTTACTGAAGTCCCGCTATTTTCAGTTAAACTTCAATGATTTCTGACAGACAAGATAATACTTTGAGCATAGATCTGCATAAAATGTTTGAAGGCTTGTAGCCAGGAATCCATAGAAGGTATCTAGGAGAGCTAGGAGGAGCATATACACCCCATGATGGTGTTCAGAGAGTTCAATGGGGAGGATACAATGGGAAGAGAGGGGAGGGGAGTGAAAATGAATGAAGTCTAGCATGTAAATGGTAAACTTCATTATTTTGATGGTATTTAATGCAAGTTGGGTTGTTTTGGTGTATCAGAGGGGTATGCTCAAAAGGAGGAGTTGCAATGGAGTGGCGCTAAACGTGGGTCAGGGGACAGTGATTTCCCCTACCAGGCCCCTGTAAAATGCACCTGGCGACACTCTTAATGCCTAACTTCACATTCTGAAATTGTTTAAAACGCATACTGCATTGTAAAGAGCATAAATATCTATAAAATATTCTGAAAAATATTCAAGGATATTGAGAACATATTAGTCAAGTCATATATAGTTTATCGTTTAGGTTGGGATTTTTTAGGAATCTCTGATAAAGTACGGTATAGGCTAATATTGACATTTTAAAATCCACACCACGTAGATAGTTCTGAAAAGAACTGTTGTTTTGTTGAGAATATCTCGAGGTCCGATTGATATTGTTTACCTGATGCAACTCAATCGAACCGTCAACAAAACAACTTTTCAGAACTATGTCGTGTACAGCGAGCATTTAATATATTATTACTCCGACACGTAAACATAACAATCAATGACGTGAATTCAGTGAGGTGAAACGCATTCATGAAGTAAAATCATCAAACAAAACGTGCGTGCCGATATTTCAATTGCTTTAATAATAATAATAATAATAATAATAATAATAATAATAATAATAATAATAATAATAATAATAGATGAATTTATATAGAGCAAATAAACGAGGTCTCTATGCGCTTGACAATATTGAAGTCAAGAAAACAAAGACAAAAGCCGGGAGAAAAAAAAACAAAACAATAAACACTAAGCTAGCACCCAAACTGAAGTATGGGGTCACACCATCACCGCCAACCGGAGATCTGTGTTTATGTACTCCGGTTAGCATCGGTTAAGTCTTGACCTTTTATGGGATCAGGTGCCTCCTAACCTGGAACAAACAACACTAGCAAGCAAGGTGAAACAGAAAAATTAGAAAAAAAAAGTAGTTATAAAGAGGAAAATAGAAAAGTCGCTTCTTAAAGATGTCAATTGACGCAGATTCACGGACTTCAACGGGTAGTGCATTCCACATTTTTGGAGCCGCAACACGAAATGATCTCTCACCATATGTTTTCGAACGGCACCCAGGAACAAACAAAGCTGATGAACTTGTAGTTGATCTGAGTGCTCGAAAACAAGTGGATGAGCGTAGTCTGAGAAGAACTTGCATGTACGTGGGTGATAGGTTATGGAGCGATTTGTACACAATAAGAAGAATTTTGAAGTTGATACGCTGTCAAACTGGAAGCCAATGTAAGTCTTTGAGTATTGGCGTGATGTTCTATGACTTTGGGGTGAGCTTAATTAGACGTGCGGCCGAGTTAAGATGTAGTTGTAATTTTTTTATAAGAGTGTCTGGAAGTCCAACTAGGATACCATTGCAATAGTCAAGTCTTGAAGTTATAAAAGCATGAACAAGTTTTTTAGTTGTGTCTTCGTTCAGGAAGCGTCTGATTTGCTTAATATTACGGATGTGATAATTAACAGATTTATAAACGTTGGTAACATGTTGCTTTAGAGACATCGTGTTGTCAAAAGTCACACCAACATTACAGACTTCCAGTGATGAAGTGACCGTTGTTTTACCAACGGGGAGACACTGCAGATTGGGTGAGTTGGAAAGATGCCTAGAGTGTATGACGAGAGTTTCAGTCTTTCTAAGATTAAAACAAAGCATATTTTCAGATAGCCAAGTTTTTACTTCATCAAGACAACTTTCAACACGATCAACTGCATCGTCCATCGTATCAGGTTTAAAGCCGAGGTACAACTGCATATAGTATCATCCGCGTAAACATGATAACGGCATGAATGCTTGGTGAAGAGGACTGGACCCAGAGTTGATCCCTGTGGGACGCCACATTCCAAGAAAACAGGATCAGAAATAGACGATTTAATTTTAACACATTGGCGTCGTGATATTAAGTACGACTGGAACCAACTGAGTGCAGAACCAGAGATACCAACGTCAATTAAGCGATTAAGGAGAATATTATGATCAATAGTATCGAATGCAGCAGACATGTCTAAATATACCGATAAAATACATTCACCTGTATCAAGAGCTTGCATAATGTCATCATGGACTTTCAGTATGGCGGTTTCTGTACCAGTAAAAGACTTTCTGTATGCTGACTGGAATTGGTCGTTAAGACCATCGTCATCAAGATGCTTGACTAGTTTGGAGACAACAACCTTCTCGAATATTTTGGAAATAAATGGAATGCAGGTTATAGGTCGGAAATTAGAATATTCTGTGTGGTCAAGCTGAGGTTTCTTCAAAATAGGTGAAACCAAGCCAAGCTTCAGTGCCTCAGGAAATAAGCCAGAAGACAGGGAGGAGTTAATGAGTTTTCGAAAGAGACTAATCATAGTAAGTGGGCAGAGACACTAAAATATTAGTAGGAAAAGGGTCTAAGTCACAGGTTTTAGTTCCCATGGACTTGACAATGTCAATAACATCTTCATTGTTCAATAAGTTAAAACTCTCAAATTTCGAAAGCTGTAGAGCAGGAGAAGAAGTAGGAAGCTCAATGCTGGGCGATGACTCACTTGGTGTGATTCTGTTACGCAGACGTTTGACCTTCTGAATAAAGAATGCATTGAAATCATTGGCCAGCTGAAGGTGGCTCTCAGTAGTTTGAAACATGCTTTTAAAAAGCATTAGTGCGTTTATCAAAAGTAATAAAGATGATAATGATGTTAAAACCAATTGTACTCGGATTTCAGGGTTCTTGATACCATATCCCACAAAATGCTGTTACGGACACTACCGGACACTACACACAATATTTGATATAATGTCGTATAAATAGCTGTTTTTTATAATTAATTTATTTTCTTCCTTTAGATCTAATTATTAGGAGCTGATTCATTCTTTATCATCATTTCGATGGTCTTTAATACAAGTTGGGGATTGGTTTTTAAGAGGAGGCTTGCTAAAAATGGGGGATCGGCCGAATGAACCACATACACCTAGGTAACAGATTTGTTTACTAGTTAGTCTGGCACAGGAGTGGTGCCAGTATTTGCAGGAGAAAGAAGGAGTGACTGACCTTGTCTACGGCTAGAGTGTTAGTGGACGATGCCAGGGGCTGCCAGAACCACTAGAAGGCAAGAGATCATGACCTATAAGGGGTGGCGCCGGCGGGGTGGGGGCAGGGCCCCTCGTCGAGGAGAGCTGCCCCCTCCCCTCGTCGGGGAGAAAAAGGACAATTCGTCGGGGAGAAAAAAATATATATGTATTTTCTACATATTAGTAGACTCTAAAATCGATTAAATACCGTAAGCCTTTGAAACCACTAAATATTTTAGGGGGATTCGCCGTTTAATCGAAGCTCTGCCACGCCCACTTTGCTTTCGTCGGGAGAATTTGACCCCTCGTCGGGGCATCGACCCCCCC